TTATAATTGATTCAATGGTTTATACAAAAATATGCATTTAAATAAAATATAAAAATAATGATTTATTTAACTCTAGAAAACCATCGACGACAATAATTTAATATCATCCTGTGATAATATTCTTTAGCAGTTAATGAAATTTATCAACCTTAAAACATTAAGTTTAACGATAAGTATTCGGGTACTTGGAAATCCTTAAAATTGACCAATGAATAAAACTAATATTGGTTTGTCGGTTAGTTATACGAACGTGGAACTCTTATAAAATAAATAAATAATTTATGTATTTTGATTTTGAAGTTACACACACGAGGAAATAAAAAGAAAAACGTGACTTTTAAAAATGGCCTGGAGAAAAATGTACATCGATATTGTTCTTTGAGGGAAATCATTTAGAAAAGTCGGTCTCCGTATCTACGTTTTAATAAAAACAATTGTTTGAATGGTGATTTTATTCTCCGAATACAAAGTCCATGCGCTGTAGAGTAGTAATATAAGAAAGTTTAAAATGTTATTCATAAAATGTGATAAAAATACAAAAATATTAGAATTTCCATAAATTAGAATTAGATTTATTTTTAACATCCATCGGAAAGCTGCTGTAACACGATTGCGCCTCATGAAAATACATAGATATTATTAATTTAAAAATTTTCCAACACAATATTAAAAAATATTTATAGATGGAATAATAAACATTAATCATGTAATTTTTTTTAAAAAATGTATTTTGACAATATGTATAAATAAAAGACATATACAACTTCCAGCTATGTACTGTATCCTTTAAACTATATTTTAATAATTAGTTATTTAATGTTATGTTAGATACAATATTTTATTAGTAATTTATCTTATCTGTTAATATCAGTATACCATACTGTCATGGTCGGATTTTACATTTAGGTCAGTCACAGTTGACTGTTGGTTGTTGAGACGCGTGTTCACATTTTCTTATAAAATATTATTTAGCACTTATTGTACTATATGACAACGTGAAAATGACTTATACAGAAAAATGAAACTATCTATTCAAAAATAATTTAAAACTGAAAAATGTATACAGCAGATACTAGTAGACGATCATAATTCATAAACACAGGGAGAATAAAGTACTTAAATATGTTAGCAATATTCAATATCGGTGTAATAACAAACAATTTCGATCAAATATACATTTATGTTGACAATAAGATGACAAAAGTATGTACCAAAAATACTCTACGATTAAGTTCATACGATACATACGCTAAAAAAAAAAGTTTTATATTCCTTTAATACATTGTTTATGACGTTAAAATAAACTGAAGTTTATTTAGATATGCGGTTAGATATCCAAGGAGAAACATGTAGAAAGTTATTAAAAAGAATAATATTACCATACTCAGAATAAAATAAGAAAACAAATTTAAATTAATTTTGCTAATTTTTACAAAATTTTACTAAAATTACATAAACATAAAATAATATTTGAACGTGAAAGAACCATGATCTAATGTCATACAATTGCAGATTTTTATTTATAAACGTTGACAATTTTATGTAGTTATTTTATCTAAAAGTGAAAATATTTTAATATAAAAAAAAAATCAAAAATTTAATTCGTACATTTTAATTTGTAACATTACCGATTTTTTGAGTTATTTTAAATCTGTTAAAATAAAGATGCCTATATTTTACAGGAAAAAAATCATATTACGTTTTATACAAGTGGTAATTATGAATTCAACCGTGTTTATTTTTTAGAACGTAATAATGAAACGTTTTTTACTTGAATAAAAGGGTAAAACAGACGGAATCGTGTTTCAGTCGGAAGGTATTAATGAATCTTTTAATTTTTTAATGCATCTTTTCGAATTTGATTAATTCTGATTGACCGGTCTCGCGTTCAGGTCAAGATTAATTCGGATGTTTAGTCATTTGTGCAGGTATATTATAATTTATGTTCCCGGTATTCATGTTCAGATAAGGTGTTTTTACAGGCATTAATGTTAATTAAGATGAGAATCCATTCAGTATTATGGGACATATTATATTATCGTCTGCTTGCAGTGCACAACATTAATTATTTTGTTCGTATTACGTAATACTGTAAGCTACACAGTTTCATAATTATGTAAAAGATTAGATAATTTTTCATTGATCACATAAAATATTTCGATAGTGCAAATCTACTTTACTTTTATTTTTATTTTTTTTATAATTTAAATTATCCGTCCACCGAGGAAAATACGTTTTATTATATATATATGTAAATCAATGAGATATAAGTAAACAATGAATAATTGGATTCGAGAAATCGGTTAGAACATCATCATTGTTTCATTTTCATTAATGCATTGTCGAAAATGGACCCCGAACAATCCGAAGAAATTTTTTTATAATAGAAATAGTATCCAGTCCCGTTACAAATCATATCATGAAATTGGAAAATCTAGAAACTTGTCTAAAATAGAAAATATGCTAAGCCGCGTGCGATGCCGTATTTACTGCATATTAAATATAATCTACCAGCAATCGTTACATAATATATTATTAATCGCGATTAATCGTACATGCGTGTACGATAATAATGTAATATTTCATTTGGAAACGTGGTTCATACCGTGCCGCAGAACTGACACCCCGGTGTAGTAGATGACACTGTCGACACCGCGGAATATTGATAAAAGTTTTGGCAATCTTAGGTCCCGGGCGAGTTATGTACCGCGAAAATAATGTATCTTGCGTTTTCCGTTTTCGGAAGACAAGTTAATGCTAGCGATTATTTCCTTGTCATTGGATATACAGTTTGCAGGAATTCCATTTTCTATACACACACACACACATATATATACATGTATATAGATATATCGCGCGAGAAATCTCTACGAAGAAAAATGCAATTCTTTTTTCCCTCTCCTTTAATATCCTTTTTTATGTACGTATGTATACACGCGATTATACGCGTACACAAGTTAGCCTGCACACGTGTGTTTTGCCAAAACGTTATCACAGCCGCGTACTTCGCATGCATATTAAGCCATACATTATTCAAGGTATACCGGTTCGTACGTGTGTGTGTGTAACAAAGGGTTGCCATTAAATGTGGACAGACAGCGTGGAGCCGAAAGTGGCTGCGCTGTTGAAATGCGACGGATTTATGGTTTTTAATAACGGAGCACGTCACGCAGGACGTGCGCGGGAAAATATTCCTTCTACCTGACGTCTGCAAAAGCCCGACCACCCTTGCAACAGGCATCAACGACGATCGTTAGGAGTTTCGGTGCCAGCGTGAAGGAGTGCGGGAGCAAAAAAACGACAACAGCGGTCGAGGTGGTGGGTGCTAAGAAGTTTAATTTCTTAAAGAAATAAGAAATTATCACAACTCGTCGTACAAAGATGAAGGGAGCGGGGAAAAATGAAAAAAAAAAAAAATAAAAAAACCGAAAGAAAGAAGCAGAATTCGTCTACCCCTTCATTAGGTTGACATTAAATATGGCATTCCTGGTCGAAGGGTGCTTTTCTTATACTCGTATAGTTATTAGTATTTTCTTTCTTCTTATTGTTTTCGATCCGTATTCTTTTTTCCTTCGGTCAGGAAGCCAAATAAATTTAATAGGAAGCGTTTAATTAAACGTTTGATTGAAAGACTCAAGAACAAAGAACAATGACTAGGTATTAAATAAACTTTCTGCCGAAAAATCCGTTTGTGGAAAACAGCCGAAACATTTTCGAATCTTAAGAAGAAAAAATAATTCATAGCATATAACTATTTTTGGATAAAAATTCATCTGCCCGGACAAAGAATTTGACAAAAAAAAAATTGTTGATTTCACCTTCCGATATCATCATTATTATTCTTATTCAATACGTTTTTCAACTGTTTAATTGTGCAGGTAAATATTGATGTATCTAACACAAATGTTAACATTTAAAATTAATTTGATTGTAAAACAATTTAATAATAAAATACTTTATTTATTACCGTTTGCAATTTATTTACTAACATGCCAATACTTTAATATTTAAATTTAAGCTGTAACATTAATGTTTTAAACTGGATGTTTTCTTTAGGCTATAACATATTATATGATATGCTTCTTTAAAAAATAAATATATATACACGATTATAACATATAGTTATATATATATTATAGTTCCTAGATAAACACGATAAACAGTTTAACGATTTTAAATTATGAAATACTTTCATGTAAGTAAGTTTTTTTAAGGTACTATAAATTTATTTACTTATCAAAGTTTGTAATTATAAAACGTTTCATTTTATCTTTTAATTGAATGTACGATATCGTATGTACTTTTAATGACATATAATTTTTGTCTTATGTTTTTTCAATTATAGTGCTAATAATAATAACTTTTTATAATAACATTTAAAAAAAAATAAACTTTGTCTCCACGATGAAAATAAAATGTGGTTATTCAAATTTTAGAAAGTAACTAAATTATTTTATTCTCTGGTAAACGTGCATTAAACAATATATTGTTATCTATTATAATTTCGAATACCTGCCAACAACTTTTAAATAATATCTAACTAATAATGATATTATCTTTTAAGACAGCGGTAGAAAAAAAAATGTTTATTCCAATTGATTGCAATTGGGGAACATTTTAATTTCTAGTATAAGTTTTGTATTATTTCGGTTAATAAAATTATTTTATAGAAAATATGTTGCGAATATTTTATATTTATTTATTGTTTTTCAAGAAAACTAGGTGTTATAATACAGAGCATTGAATAAATGAAAATAATTATAAACTAATGTTATAATATTTTCAAATATTGATAATAATTTCGAAAAATGTAATCATATTCGTATACTAATTAGCATTTTTGGGTTAACGTATTTCACACATGTTACTGTCACGACACATAACACCATTGAAAGCACCGAGCATCTTATATGTATATAATAAAATATTCGCTCCGTGAGTTCGTAGCAGCAGTAATTGGATTAAAAGCATATTAGTAGTCGTTTATGAATTGTACTCACTCGAGTGTTTGGAAACTGTTCTTTTAGTTTCGTGCTCACCCTTAATAATTCCATTGGTGTCACGTTGAGATTTGTCTCTGGAAAACAAAAAAATCTAATATATTATTGTACTGGAAGCTAACAAAGCGTGTTTATAATAATACGGGCATATACTTATCGTATATACTTTCATTTTATAAATCTAATATACATTTAACGTAGGAATTTTGAAAGAACAGACGATCATCTTTAAAAAAAAAAAAAATAAATAAATTGTTCCATATAAATACGTACACACTAGATTTCAGTAAACTATGTGCAATTATAGATTGTAAAATAAAGTGAGCTATATAAATCCTCCTATATGTGTATATATATATATATATGTGTGTGTGTGCGTGTGTTTGTGCGTGTGCTTGTGCGTGTATGTGTGTAGACTTATGGGACTTTTTCATGATTAGAAATGAAAACACATATTTCAAGCATGTGAAAAATCAATACATAGTGTTACGATATAATAAATGGTTAAGTGATAATATTAGAAGTGTAATAAAAATTGTTTTTCGAAAATAACTAACATAGCTTTAAAATGCAGAAATTTTCTATGTAGAAATTTGTAGATTGTAAATTCTTGAACGTGTTGGATTATTGACTATAATAAGTAGACTGATATTGAAAAAGGTCAAACAGTAAAATTAAACCACATGTTAATAGAATTGTTTTAAACCAACAGTATCAAAATAATCAAGCAATTTTTTACAATTTTCTTTGCTATTTGCTTAACTATTAAAAAAATTTGAAAAATAATATTATAATATAAGAATCCTAACTTTGTTATTTTTCGAGCTCTGATAATTTCGGAAAGAATAATAAGAGTTTGACAATTCGATAACTGCAAACAGTCTTAATATAATTTTTAATCATACAGAGTATTAGAGTTATAAGTATAATACCAGTATATATATAGTGGTTAATGGCGGTCATAATAAAATTAAGTTTTAATTTATTTCTTATTTCAAAAATTAAAAAGAAATAAAAAAATTCAAATTTTGATATCTAATGTAGCACATTCAAATTAAATATATTTTATTACAACTTGATATTGTTTTTATGAAATACATGACTTGCTATTTATGGAAAATTGTAATTTACACTTTATCACTTTATTTGAGGATATTTAATCAATGAATTTCTTAATGTTTTATCATTTTTATTAGCTTGTATTTATTGTCTTAATCATTTTAAGAAAAATTTTATTTAAAATTCTTATATTTAATCGTTTTAAAACTGTTTTGAAATGTCTGTGACTGTTTAAAAATTGTTCATTTACTAATGCTATTTTCGTCATAAGAATATCTATTTATTTATTTTTAATTCTTCTACAAATTTAGTCAAAAATTATATATATATATTTTTTATTTAGAGTTATGCTGAGAAAAAGGTCGATCTTTTTGTTTTCGTAAATTACGAATGGTATAATATTTAATCCAGTGGTTCTTAAACTTTTTTGTCCGCAAAGCCCTTATGTTATCAAAAAAATTTACGAAGCCCCGAAAATCAGGAATTTATATTCAAGACAACAATAATTATTAATATTTCATATTGAGAAAAATACCAGGGCTTTGCACCCAAATTAACCCGAACCCGTAACACCACTAAAAACCCTTAAAAAATCAAACACCCAAAACCCATATAACCCGAATGTTTTTTTTTTTTTATTACACCCGAAGTAACCAAAACCCGAATAAAATATTGGTTTTAACCCGAAACCAGAATAATTTTTTATTTTACAATCTTTATGTGACATATCATTTTGTATGTATTGTTTGTGGTTATTTCAATTTTGTCATTAGTAGTTTAATAGTAAAATTATTATTCACAGGAATAATTTCACAAATAATACACAACATTGTTAATTAATCTAAATTTATTTAAATAAAGACAAAAGCAATACATAATATTGACATGTATGCATAAATGGTATTGTATGTTGAATGTTCGATTGTAAACTACTGGTATACTATTTTTGAAATTATCCCAAGCGGATATGTCGTATTATTATAATTTAATAGGTAATAGATCTTTTACGAATCAACCAGTCGTTATTTATTCCAATACTGTAAGTCTGATATAGAATTAATGTCTCGCGTACGATTTATCTAAATTATTGTTTAAGTTATTCGTATTTATTCAGTATATAGCGTGTAGTACACATATCTATGGCTTGAATTATCAATTTTTGTTGGTGTAATAATTTCATCGTAATATTCATAAGTACAAATTATTATTATTTTTGTATTACGTCTATGTCTTATCTAGTGCGTTTTTAATGTGTGCACGCACCACAAACCATAAGGGGAAATTTGGTGAAATTTGTGGGGGGTTAAGGATTATTTGCTTATTACACCTATAGATACCACTGTGCGCAATTATTTATTCTAGCAATGCAATTTACGAAGTTTGAAAATTTGATATCATTTTTAATCAACAATTTAAACAAAAAAACAATTAGGTATCTTATCTTAAACATTTTTGGAGTAGGTATTCTAAACAGAAATATTAATTAAATTAAACAACCTATACCAGTATTATTACATATTATTAATATTACATAAATTTCGATCGTTCCAAGTCATGACAAGAAGTTTTTAAAATCTTACGAATTTGATTTGATTTTTATCACAGAATATTTTTTTTTAATTCAGTTATTAAAAACGCATTTTACAATTATAATAATTTTTGTATTTTTAGTCACTTAATAATTTTTAGGGCTAGGGGGCTAAGACCTGTACTTTGTATTTCTGGGGAGCTTAGTCCCCTCAAGCTCTCCCCCAATGATTTCCATCTATGCCACAAACACAAACGCAGAATACAAAATAATTTGTTTTTTGTCGAATGCGATATTGATTGATATTTTATTACATAGGCAGGTAACAAAAAATATAAATATTTCATTAATGAAGGGAGGGCTCAGTCTCCCCATCATCCTCCACCAATAAAAAATAATATTTTTCCTTGACTACTTAACACCTGTATTAAACAATATTAACCCGAATAATAACGGTCATTAACAACCAAACGTTTGTTTAAAAGTTGTATTGCGGTGTTTGAACAACAGAATATATTCAACACCCGAAACCCGAAACCAAAAAAATTATTCGTGTGCAAAGCCTTGAAAAATACACAGTTCAAAATTTTATTTTTTTTTTAAAGTTCGGATTTTGTCATTTGCAGTGAAAACTTTGGTCATATACGTTGTATTGATAAATTTACTTCATTTAATTTTGTAAAAATACCAGCCAAGTTATGAAGTCATAATAACCAAATTTTATCAGAAGTCTTAGTTGTAAATAAAATTGGTGTCATTAAAACGTATAACTCGTTGTGCAATTCAGGTTATCAGTGTTTTTCCTCAATAACTAAGACATTTAATAATATTTAAATTTAGATAATTAATATATGCCCACGGAGCTCCTAGACTATTCTCGCGGTACCCTAGGGTTCCACGGAGCACAGTTTGAGAACTTAACCAATGACAAACACTAGCTTTTTAATTAATTTACACGAAAATTGGATCAAAATTAATTATTTAAATTCAACATCAAAGTACTTGTGGTCTGCTTCGTTTAGTCTGATATTTCATCACGATTTGAATCAAAATTCAAATTTAGAAAGTTATATAAAATAAATCAAATACAAAATGGTTTTCTGAAACAACATTGTTTGTTTAAATAGCTGTAAAATGCTCATGGCTCCCAGAGATCCAGATTACAATTAATAACAGTTGATGATTCGAAAGTCCGATAAACCTCAAAAATTGTACGATTAAAATAAAAAGTATATAAATGAAAAAGTGTATAAAAAACGTTGGTTTACAAAGAAAAATAATGAACTGAGTTATACTGTATTT